TTCCCTTCCTGGAGTTTTTCCATTGTTTCTTCTGTAATTATCTGTGCACTCAGAAGTTCTGATGCTGTAATTTGTTGTCTGAGTCCTTGGAACCAGACATCGCTTCTGTCCTCTTCCTTTTCTTTGATGATATTTAGTATTGTCTCAATAATTCCTTGTATAATGTGGTGAGATTCATTTTTATATTTTTTCACCAGTTCTTTTCTTTTCTCTTCTGTGATGTACTCTGAACACAGGAGTTCCCACAGTGATAACACCTGTCCCTTGTATTTCCCAACAGGCATTTTGACCTTTGTACATAAAAGGGTATTTTTGGTTTGCTCATCAATGTAGAAATAGTCTTTGTCTTTTTCCATGACCTGCAGCAGGTACAGTCCTGTGTCTCTGTCCTTAGAGCATCTCTCCAGGAGCTGACTGTAACTAATTTTCTCATGGGTGTTTGGATCTATAAAGCCTTTGCTGCCGTGATCTGGGTCAGAAAGTAGGAGAAACATGTCATCATCCAAGTAGCCCCTCTTGTAGGCCACCTCCACGGGCAGGCGGTGGCTGTGCACGGGGTCAATGATGCCACCCGTGGCGATCTGAGCCTCCAGCAGGCGGATCCCGTGCTCCCTGACTGTTATCTTCTGCTTTATGGCCTGGAAGAGGGATATTTTATTTCCAGTCTGAGGATCTGTGTATCCTGTTACAGCTTTCTCTGCCCACAGCAGCTTCTGGTGCAAGTGGCTTCCCACCAGCCCAGCGGAGATGGCCTCATCAACAGAGAGCTTCTCATTCTTCAGGGGGTCAATGATGAAGCCAGTGGCAGCCTGTGCCTCCAGCAGCCCCAGTGCACACTGCTCGGTGAGGAGGCCCCTCTCCAGGGCCTGGGAGATGCTCATCTTCTCTTTCCTTGACGGAAGAAGGACCCCAGCAATGCATCCAGTGCCATCCAGGTACCTTTTGATGGTGTCCCTCGTTGTGAGGCTGGCCAGGGTGAGACTCCCATCCTGCAGCTGGTCCAGGGTTTTCTTGTCGATGATCTCAGAGTTGAACAACTCTGACACTGACACCTCCCCCCGCAGCCCTTTAACCTTGAGGGCTGCTGCTCTTCGCTCTGTGTCCTCAATTATTTTCAGGATGAGGTCTATGAGGTCCTCCAGTGGGAGGGTTTTGCATTTGTACTGGATCACTAGTTCTTTGCGTTTATGCTGGGAGAAGTAATGGGAGCAGAGAATGTCCCAGACAGAAACTGTTTGGCCCTTAAACTTCCCAACTTGCACTTCAAGGAGCTTCGCCCGCAAAGCCTGTTTTGTAAGCTCATCAATGTAGAAATACTTTCCTCCTTCCTGCACAACTTGTAGCATGTACAACCCAGTCTCTGGATCTTGGACACATCTCTCCAGGAGCTGCATGTAGGTGAGGTTCTCGTGGGTGTTGGGGTCGAAGAAGCCCTTGGTGTCGTCACTGGGGTCAGACAGGACGCGGCTCATCTCCTGGTCGAAGTAGCCCCTCTGGTAGGCCACCTCCACGGGCAGGCGGTGGCTGTGCACGGGGTCGATGATGCCGCCCGTGGCGATCTGGGCCTCCAGCAGGCGGATCCCGTGGCTCCTCACAATCAGCCCTTGGTTCATAGCTTCAAAGAGGGACATGGGGGCCTTGGTGTAGGGGTCAGTGTAGCCCGTCACAGCTTTCTCTGCACAGAGAAGCTTTTCAAAGATCTCTCCTCCAATTAGACCCACAGCTAACGCTTCCTCCACTGAAAACTTCTTGTTCTTCTCCGGGTCAATGATGTAGCCGGTGGCAGCCTGTGCCTCCAGCAGCACCAGGGCTGTCCCCGGCCTCAGGATACCCTTCCACATGGCCTGGTAGATGCTCATCTTCTCGTTGCTGGGCTGTATAAGGACCCCTGCTATGAAATTGGTGCCCTCCAGGTACCTGCGGACAGAGTCCATTTCTGTGACCTCTTTGACAGTTTTCTTCCCCTGGCTGAGCTCATCGAGGGTCTTTTTGTCTATCAGCTGAGACTGGAAGAGGTCGCTGGCAGAGACTCTTTTCCGCAGGCCCTTGAACGCAATCTTCTTGCCTCGCGTCTCAGTCTCTTGGATGATTGTGGTGACAATTGTTATGATTTCATGTAGCACTTGGGCCTTCTCCTCTTTGTACTTCTGCACTAGCTCTCTTCTCTTGCTGTCTGAGAAGTATTCAGAGTTGAGAAGGTCCCAGACCGATACTGTCTGGCCTTTGAACCTCCCTATGTTGACACAAACGGTCACGGATCTCAGCACCTCCATGGTCTGCTCATCCACACAGAACATGGAGTCTTCTGATAGAGGAAGGAGCCAGAGCCCTGACTCGGCCTCATGAACACACCTGTCCTTCAGCTGCTGGTAGGTCATGTTCTCCTTCATGTTCGGGTCAAAAAAGGCCTTGGTGCTGTCATTCTGCTGCGAGAGGGTTTGGTTCAGGTCCTCATCGTAGAAGCCATATCTGTAGGCAGCTTGGAGTGGGAGGTGGTGGTGGTGGATGGGATCGATGATCCCTCCTGTGGCCAGCTGGGCCTCTAGCAAGGGAAGAGCATCTCCCAAGGGAATCAGCTCTTTCCGGAGGGCCTGACATATTGAGATGGAGCTCCCTGTGTAGGGGTCTGTGTAGCCAGTCACTGCCCTCTCAGCCAGAAAGAGTTTCTCAGTGAGCTCTTCACCAACAACACCAGCTTTCACAGCGTCCCTCACACTGAGCCTCTGGTTGGTGGTGGGGTCAGTCAGGTATCCCGTGGCTGCCTGAGCTTCCAGCAGCCTCAGGGCAGCCCCGGGCAGGAGGAGATTGTTTTTCATGGCATCGTAAAAACTCATCTTCTTTTTGGATGCCTCTATGAACACGCCAGAGATGCTCCCTGTGCCCTGCAGGTACCTCCTCACGCTCTCCATCTCAGCCACTTCCTCGGGAGTTCTTACGCCCTGAGCCAGTTCCTCAAATGTCTTCTCAGAAATGATGCCAGTGTCCAGCAGCCAGACAGCAGGGACACTGCCCCGTAGGCCCTGCAGGGTGATGTGGGTCCGAGCCTTCAGCTCCATCTCCCCCACCAGCCGGAGCACCAGGGCCACCAGCTGCTGCAGCGACATCTCCTCAGAGCGGAACCTCTCCAGGAAGTCGTTCCTCTGCTCCTCGGTGAAGTACCCAGAGTGGATCAGCTCCCAGAGGGATACCCCTTTTTCCTTCACCACAGTTTCCTTAAAAATCCGTTGGATTTCCTCATCAGTGTAGGCAGCAGCAGCTGCCTGTGGCAGAGGCAGTAAGTGGAAACCAGAGACCTCGTCCTTCTGGCAGCGCTGGATTAATTCAGCATAGGTCATGGTCTCCTTGCTGTCTGGGACAATGAAGGCCCTGGTGCTGTCACTGGGCTCAGAGAGGGCCTTGCTGGTGTCCTCATCCAGGCACCCACGCTTCTGAGCAGATTCTATGGGGATATAGTGGCCACATGTTGGGTCGATGATGCCTCCTGTAGCCATCTGCACCTCCATCAGCTGCATGGCCTGTTTGTCAGCAATCAAGCCCTTCTTCATGGCCTGGAAGAGGGGGATTTTCTTGCCTGTGAAAGGATCTTTGTAGCCTGTTACAGCCCCTTCTGCATGCTGCAGCTTCTCATGGACTTCTGGCCCAATGACTCCCTCCTTGATGGCATCATCCACACAGAGCTTCTGGTTGTTCACAGGGTCGATGATGAAGCCTGTGGCAGCCTGGGCCTCCAGCAGTGGGAGGGCTACCCCTGGTACCATGATGTTTTTCTTCATGGCCTCATAAATGCTTATCCTCTGGTTTGAGGGCTGCAGCACAACCCCCCCAATGCTGCCAGAGCCATAGAGGTACTTCTTGACAGAGTCCATGTGCAGGACCTCCTCTGGTGTGACGGATCCCTCCAACACCTTCTCAAACAGGGCCTTGTCAATGACCCCTGTCTCCATCAGGTGGTAAGCACTGACGCTGCCTCTCATGGCCAGGAACTTGATGGGGGCCCATTTTTTCATTTCCTCCTCTAACATAACCCGGATTTGCTCCAGGGTGAGCTTCTTCAGCTGGTAGTGGTTGAAGATCTCCCGGCGCCTGCCCTCGCTGAAGTACTCAGAGTCCAGCAGGTCCCACACAGAGCCCTTCTCTCCCCGGAACCTCCCGAACCTGACAGGCATCCAGGAGCTGCTGAAGACCCGTCTGGTGGTGTCATCGATGAACTGGCGCTTCCTGCTGTTCAGAGGAAGGAGGCAGAGCCCGGTGGTTGGCTCAGTGATGCACTTCTCCTTCAGCTGCAGGTAGGTGAGGTTCTCGTGGGTGTTGGGGTCGAAGAAGCCCTTGGTGTCGTCGCTGGGGTCAGAAAGGATCAAGTTCATCTTCTTGTCGAAGTAGCCCCTCTTGTAGGCCACCTCCACAGGGATGCGGTGGCTGTGCACGGGGTCGATGATGCCGCCCGTGGCGATCTGGGCCTCCAGCAGGCGGATGCCGTGCTCCTTGACGATCAGCTCCTTCTTCATGGCCTGGAAGAGGGAGATCTTGTCTCCCGAGTAGGGGTCCCTGTAGCCAGTGACCGATTTCTCCGCCGCCAGCAGCTTGTCGTACACATCTGGGCCGATGACGTTGGCTCTCAGCGCCTCGTCCACAGAATACCTTTTGTTGGCAGTGGGGTCAATGACAAACCCGGTCGCAGCCTGTGCCTCCAAGAGGATCAGGGATGTCCCTGGCCTCAAAAGTCCTTTCCGCCTTGCCTGGTAAATGCTGATCTTCTCCTGGGAGTCAGGAAGCAGGAGCCCACCAATGCTACCTGTCCCTTGCAGGTATTTCTTGACTGTGTCCATACTGACAACTTCCTTGGCTGATGTTTCTCCCTCTTTCAGTTTCTTAAACAAATCTTTGTTGATGATTTCAGAGCTCAGGAGCTGGTCGGCTGTCACCCGGTCCCTCAGTCCTTCAAAGGTGAGGTTAGCAGTGGAAGCCATCTCCTCAATGGTGGCCCTGACCGCCTTCCCCAGTTCCTGCGTAGAGAGCGTTCCTGAAAGGTACTGCTGGGCCAGAGCAGCTCTCTGCTCACCCTGGATGTAGTCTGAGAAGAGGAGCTTCCAGAGAGACACCGACTTTCCCTTGAACTTCCCCACAGAGATGGGCACTTCTGTGTTTTCCAGAGCTGTTTGGGTCCTATGGTCAAAGAAGAGGTGGGTCCCATTGGATCCTTCTCTGCTGCCTCCACCAAGTGGCAGCAGGAGGAGCCCTGTGATGGGGTCAGTGACACAGCGCTTGAGCAGGTCTGCGTAGATCAGCTTCTCCTTGGAGGTGGGGTCCAAGAACCCTTTCATGTCTTCAGTAGGACTGGAGAGGAGCTGTTTTGTGGCCTCGTCCAGGTACCCCCACTTGCAAGCTGTCTCCATGGGGACACGGAGGTGCCTGCCAGGAGCAATGATCCCCCCCGTGGCCATCTGTGCCTCCAGAAGGCAAATGCCATGATCCCTGGGGATGAAGCCTTTCCTGATGGCTTGGAACAGAGAGAGCATTTCTCCAGTGCAGGGGTCCCGGTAGCCAGTGATGGACCTCTCAGCTGAAGACAGCTTCTCATGAAGCTCTGGGCCGATGAGACCAACCCTGACAGCCTCATCAACCAAGTAGCTTTTGTTCTTTATGGGGTCAGTCAGGCTGCCGATGGAGGCCTGGACCTGCAGGAGCATCAGAGCAGCACCAGGCATGAGGAGATGCTCTCTCAGGGCCTGGTAAAGGCTCTTCCTCTCGCTGGAAGGCAGGACAACGCCAGCCACACTCCTCGTCCCACGCAGGAACTGCTGAATGGAGTCGTTCTCTGCCACCTCCTGGGCAGAAACTCTTCCCTCCTCAAGACCTCTGAACAGGTCAAGGCTGATGATGCCAGAGTCCAGCAGGTCCCTGCTGTTCACCCTCCCCCCCAGCCCCGCGAAGGTGACTTGCAGGGGCAAGAGGAGGAAGCCTGTGGCTGGGTCAACAACACATTTATTCATCAGCTCCGTGTACGTGACCTTACCCATCGTACTGGGGTCGAGGAACCCTTTGATGTCCTCATTGCTGGGGTCGGAGAGGAGCTGCCTCATCTCCTCGTCCAGGTACCCCTGCTGGCAGGCGGTGTCTGCCGGCAGCCGGCCGCCCGTGGCCGGGTCCAGGACACCTCCGGTTGCCAGCTGGGCCTCCAGCAGCCGGGCCCCCTGCTCCCTCCCCACCAGCTCCTTCTGGATAGCCTGGAAGAGGGGGATTTTCTCCTCTGTGTAGGGGTCCAGGAAGCCGGTAGCAGCTTTCTCTGCAGAGAGGAGCCTCTCCCTCAGCTCCAGCCCCACCAGCCCCCGCTGCACAGCCTCTGACACCGATTCGTGGCTCCTCCTCAGCGGGTCAGCGATGCCACCCGTGGCTGCCTGGGCCTCCAGGAGCCACAGAGCACAATCCAAACTCAGGAGATGCTCTCTGGTGGCATCATAAAAGCTCATGACCTTCTTGGAAGCCTCTACGTAGACTCCAGCAATGCTGCCAGCTGCCTCCGAGGGCTCATGGGAAGTGTCCATCACTGTCCTGTCCCTGTCAGCTGCTCTGCTCTGTTTTCCAGGCCCCACGTCCTGGCACCAGGGGGTTGCTCCTGGCACGTTGTCCTGGCAAGCGAGGGGGCCAGCTTGGCCATTCACTGCTGGCTTGCTCTCCATCCTCCCGCTCCACTCCTTCCACGGCTGTCAAGACGGTCTGGAGAGAGGGGAGAGAATGGGAAAGTTTGGTGAGAATTCAACTTCTCTGATGATTTGCATGGGGGGAAAAGACTAGGAAGTATTTCACAGGTAGAAGGAAGTGACAGGCAAAGGCTGAGCAACATGCAAAGTGTGTGGTGTGGTTGACATGCTGGAGGGAAGGGAGGCCATGCAGAGGGACACTGACAGGCTGGAGAGGTGGGCCCATGCCAACCTCATGGAGTTCAACAAAGCCAAGTGCAAGGTCCTGCCCCTGGCTTGGGGAAAACCCAGGCACAAATCCAGGCTGGGGGGAGAAAGGATGGAGAGCAGCCCTGAGGAGAAGGACCTGGGGGTGCTGGTCGATGTAAAGCTCTACATGATCTGGCAATGTGCACTCGCAGCCCCAAAAACCCAGTGGTGTCCTGGGCTCCACCAAAAGAAGTGTGACCAGCAGGTCAAGGGAGGTGATTCTGCCCGTCTGCTCCTCACTTGTGAGACTCCACCTGGAGTGATGTGTCCAGCTCTGGAGCCCTCAGCACAGGAAGGACATGGAGCTCTTGGAGCCTAGTTCAGAGGAGGCCCTGGAGATGCTGGGAGGGCTGGAGCAGCTCTGCTCTGGAGCCAGGCTGGGAGAGTTGGGGTGTTCAGCCTGGAGAAGAGAAGGCTCCAGGGAGACCTTAGAGCAGCTTCCAGGGCCTGAAGGGGCTCCAGGAAAGCTGGGGAGGGGCTTTTTACCAGAGAGGGCAGTGATAGGATGAAGGGGAATGTTTTTTTAAAGTGGAAGAGGGGAAATTTAGGTTGGATAACAGGAAGAAATTCTTTAGTGTGAGGGTGGTGAGACCTTGGCCCTGGCTGCCTGGGAAGGCTGTGGATGCCCCCTCCCTAGAAATGTTCCAGGGCAGGTAGGATGAGGCTTGGAGCAGCCTGGGCTGGTGGGAGGTGTCCCTGCCCATGGCCCAGGGTGGGACTGGATGGTCTTTAAAGTCCCTCCTTCTTCAGACCAGTCTGGAATTCCGTGGCCCAGCCGCAGCAGGGCTGTCCCTGCAGCAGCCCCGGGGGAACCGGCACCAGGGCAACCCACCAGGTGAGGATGGAGCAGAGCAGGCACACCTGGGACACAGGACCTTCCCGGGAGCTTGAGTTGACCCAGGTCCTGCCCAGTGCAAACACCGCAGGGAGCGCTGAGCAGCGCGGTGCCAGCAGGGCCCTGCTCACCACCGAACCCGTCTCTCCAACGAGGCTTGGACCCCTTTCCATCCCGGGGTGCCCACTCCAGCTCAT